CTGGTGGAGCCACCTGCTCAGCTGCAGCCACTCACCCTCTGCTGGGGAGACGCGCCCATCAGCAGTGCGCACCAGGTGGGTTATCTTACTCTTCCTGGCCTTTCTCTTCTGGCTGCCCACCAGCATCTCTGCGGCCCCCATGGTATCCAGGGACGACACGCCCCCGGGGACAGACAGCTTGGCTTTCTGAGCTGTGTCAAGCGGGTGAGTGTCCTGCGTCACTATGGCTACAGAGCAAGAGGAAGTCGCTTGTTATTTTTGCATATAAGGTGATAAAATTCTTAACAAGTACAAACACATACACCGACCACAGCATTCTGGAGAGACCTTTGTGATGAAATACTGTGTCTTTACTGACTTCATTAGTTTGAAATACATTCCATAGTCAGCTTACCGCCTTTCTACAAGCTACTTGCTAGACAACCACATTTCAACCTACCCTACTTGTTCAACTTAGTGACCAGGTAACAAGTAACGTGAGGTAGAGAAAAACCCAAGTTTTGAGCAATGAGAGGATGGAGGGGCAGAGATCACCTTTATCCAAAGTATTGGTTTTCTCCTTTTTGTGCTTGTACTTGCTAACGATCTTGTGGAATAAATTCTTTTTCTGAGATGAGGATGAACCTAAGGTTACAAAGAAAACCAAAAAAACAGGATGTACGATGTTAAATGATAGCAACGTCACCCTTGTGAGAAGCGCACGCTCAGACCAGGAGGCACGGAGGAGTCTGGGGCCTCCACAGGAGAATACGCTCACCCCTGGCGCCTTTGGGCTGCTCCACGCCAGTCTTCTTCTTCTTGGTGACTGAGGTGTTCTTCTTGTCAAACGTCAGCGGGCTGTACTGGGGAAGGCTGTTGAACTTCTTCTCAAACTCCTCTTCCAGTTTCCCTAACCTGTGACACAGTGGGGCATCAGTGTCTGGGTCGTAGCCTCCGTGAAGTGACCGTGAGGGTCTCGTCCCTGGGAAACTTCGGCCCCGTAAGGGCCCAGTCACCTGACACGTTTCTGCTGTTTGCAAGAGGTAGATGATTCACTACTTGACATAAAAGCCCGGTGATGATATTGAACTAAAATGTCTGGTATGTGGAATTTAGAAAGTGAGAGAAGTGGAGATATCAGGGCAGAACTCATTAAATGCAGTGCAAATTTGGAAATACCCTGAGGTTTCAGTGCTCAGACTTGGGTAAATCAGCAGATAGATGCAGATTTGCCAATAGTGCTTTGATTACTGACGCGGACCATCATCACAGCCCTGAACGCCACTGGGCCTTGTTTCATACCTGTATATCCAAACCATTGCTGTCTCATGAAAGTCCTGTATGTCCACTTTTGAAGATTGTGACTCTCCAAGATTGTGACTTTGACTATAGATGGAATACGGTCATTCTCCTTTGTCTATTAACAGCATTTGACATCTAATTGACCAATGAAAAGATGCTTTATGAAGTCATCTGTTGAAGTTATCTCCATTGTATGTCATAAGTGTCCATCAAAACCGCATATCTCCCACCCCTTGTTTGAAAGAGTGCAAGGCTGCACGATGCTGGGTGAAATATGAATTGCAGTTTTTTTTATTTACTGAGCGTTTTTCTACCCTGCTTTTCCCCAAATGCTCGACTTCCCTCTAATGAGTGTATCTCTTGGTCCCCAGCCCTGCGAGTGTGCATGTCCCCATCTCCTTCTGAGTCTTTGCGCTTGTACCGATATCCCTGCATCCACACAACTGACTCTCCGGAATTTTGAACTTAGCATTCCTCCCCAGCTTAGATTCTTGTTTAGTGCTTTGGCTACCTGTCTACTCTGCATTTGGGTCCCCGTTCCCTATCTGTCCCTTAACATGTGTCATCGTCATCAACCCCCTCCCCCCATATTAGATAAATATATATTGAGTATCGGTACTGGTGCACCACTAACAACATCATTGTTACTGAAATGGGACTGTCACATAAAGTTTGCAGAATAGAAAGGGCACACTACTGGTTTTTAGCAAATAACTAATTTCCAAATATAAGCAATGTTAAACAAAAACATAAACCTCGTCTGTTTCAGCATCTCCTAAATAAGGAATTATTATTATTAGTAGTAGTAGTATTAGTATTAGTAGTATTAACATTTAGTGTAGTGATGGTTTGTTGCCACCAGGGGGCCTCAATGCAAATGCATAGTTTGAGTATGGGGTAGACACATCAAGACTAACCCAGGAAGAGACTCGTCTTTCCATCTGGACTTCTTCAGCTTCTTGGTGCTGCTGGGTCCCGTCTGCGTGAACGTCCAGCTCTCTTCCGTCCAGCTGCCCTCCAGGTCGGACACGCTCCCACGCCCCGAGCCCCTTTTACCTGCAAAATACCCGCACATTAATATCATACAGCTAAATACTTGCCCATTTATTGGTTGGATGAGAATGATCATGTTATTACTATGAACACATAACGGCTGCTCTTAGTTCCCTGCACTGGCTTCCTTTTCGGCTCAAGACTGACTTCAAAGTTCTCCTACTGCAGGTTTCCTTGTCGTTCCACATATAAAGTGACAGTGGGCGGTAAAGCATGGTTTGCCTGCTCATGTTCAGGACGCTGATTTGTTCTCAGTCTTTAAATCGCAACTGAAGACCTATTACTTCAGTTTAGCGTACCCGCAACTTAACACATTACATCCCGGAATTATGGCTGCTGCTGCTGCTCTACATGCCATTTTTATCAACTATGCCTAATAAGGTGCCTATGCATGTTCTGACCACTCATGCTCTCTGCCTTCCTTCCCACGTGTCCAGGTGGTTCCCGGGGTGGGCACCATCTGAGCTGGAGTCCTGGTTCAGTCCCATGGAAAGGTGACATTGTGGATGCGACTTATGAGCTGCAACAGGCCGGCATGGAGAACAGATGCATGCGGTTTGGCAGCCTGTTGACCTTTGTGTTTTTGGTTCCTCTCCTCCGTTGTCATCTTTCTTTCTTTCTCTCTCTCTTTCTCTCTCTCTCTCTTTCTTTCTTTCATTTCTTGGTCTGCCCTTTTCCTTGTTTTTGAATTATTCCATATAAATGATGCAGGAATGTATCAAAACACACCCTTGGGCCTTGGGGCGACTGCTGTGAAAGGCGCTATAATAAATATAAATGCAATCAGTGTTTTGATTGACTGCCAAGCTCATTGTGACAAAGGTCGATGCGATTAAACAATTTTCACGGGCCACAGATAAGCAGTTAAAAGATGATGGATGGATGGATTTCCTGAAGGCCGAGCATGCATGCAGTGCTCATGCAAAATCAAGGCTTGCTCCTATTACTGAGATCGGTTTGGGAGTGTCATATATATATATATATTTTTATTTTTATTTTTTTTTTCTTTCATAGAAGTGATAATTTCACCATCCTTCTCACAGGAAGGCAAAGAAACATATACAATGTTTATGAGCTACCAGCCTCCTGTGAGCAGAGTTGCTTCTGGAAGGTTGGGCCAGAAGGACCGGAAATGTGAGAAGGCCACAGTCTCCAGTCAGGAAGTGGTCCTGACCTGTGCTGCTCCCAGCTTAACACCTACAGTACAGCTTATGGCTTTGGATGGTGAGGGAGACCCTGTTGGAATGGAGAGCCCTGAACTAGTGGTTAAGGCCCTTTTGTGCTTTGCTGTTCATTTTGTCAGATTTTTTGACATCTGAAGTGATGGATTCCATTAACAACGGCGACTTCAAACCAAACCATCAACTTGGGTATTTCAATGTCTGTTCATGTACAATGTTGTTCCCTTTTGTTTTGTGAAACAACTGAGAAACACAACGTAGCGCCACTGGTCCTTAGTTAGAAGTCAGGAACCAATTAAATCAAAATGACACATTAAGCCTAGTTCATACTTCACTTTTTGGCATTCGTTTGGCAGATGTGGATAATCGCGGTCGGTGCATGATTACTGCATCAGATCAGGGGAGGGCAGATGTCTTGCAACAAACACAAATAAAAACAGTGTAGTGAAACGGGGTAAACTTTTATGAACAGTTTGAACTGTTTTATGAACAGTTATTGCCAAGATTTCTAAATGCTGGAATAGTGCTGCTTTTCAAAAGGCTGTACACCTCAGTATAATGAATAACAACTATTCTTTTGCTGCTCTTTATTGACTGCTGATCTGTGAAAGTTAGTGTTGCCACCTACTGGAAATCCCTAGTAAATGATCTTGTACATGTGCAGTCGACATGCATAAACGTGCACAAAATCTGGGCTACATGCACATCAACTGCAACCATCTGCAGCCAACCCCTGATGACAAAACTTATGTCACGTCTCCCCATGTGCAAAAAAAAAGTGCACACGGAAAAGTGAAGTATGAATTGGTCTTAACACCAACATGACAGCAACACGCCTCTCCCCGCACCCCCCCGGCTACCTCTGTCCACGTTGGCTCTCAGGGAGGTCAGCATCCCCTCAGAGACCAGTGTCTTGTACAGGGCACCTTTGCAGCTCCTCTCTGACTTTCTGGAGCCACAGCTCTCCAATTTGGCTTCTCCATCCTTCTCCTCAGCCTTGACTGGCAGGACTGGGGGCACTGGTGTGCTCGGGGGGGAGGGCTCTTCCCCGCTGACCAGGGGCTCTGCCTTCACGCTGACATCCATGGACTCGGTTTCAGGGCAGGTCAGGGGCACCTCCTCTTCTGGGGTCTTGCAGTCCCCCGCAGACCCCTCATCCTCTTTTGCCTGGGTCAGTTTCTTCACTTTGGCTTTCATCTTCTTCTTTGGAGATTCAGGCTCCTTAGAGTCGCCCTTATCGCCAGACGGTGGGCGGGACTTCCTCTTCTGCGCCCTCTCGCTGCCCCAGGCTCCCTTGGCCACAGCCTCGATGGTGTAGATGACGCTCTCCAGGTCCGACTCTGACGATTGGCGTCTCTTACATGGCTTCTTGAGCGACGGGGGGCTCTTATCTGCCTTAGCCTCCTCACTCTTGTCTTTCTTCTTCTTTTTCTTCTTTTTTATGGTCTTGGACTGGCTGAGTGCTGGCAGGCTGCCGTCCATTGGGGTCGTGGAGGACGAGGAGGAGGAGGACGAGGAGGAGGAAGAGGAGGAGGAGGAGGAGGAGGAGGGGGAGGATAAAGGAAGATCGCGGGCATCCTGAGAGTTGCAGGCGGCTTCCCTGCTGTCCTGCTCTGCAGAGCTGCATGAAGATGATGGCTGTGACCCCAAGGCTTCGATCTTCACTGCTTCAGAAGCCAAACACATCTGCGGGGGGGGCGCAAACAAAGGATGCTGGTTTAGGAGCCCAACAGTTAGAAAAGACAGGAGATTAAATGACTACTCCCTATGACCGAGACAATGTTGTAAATGGCCTAGCTGGTTAGGGATCTCTACCTGTGTCCAGAAGGTCACTGGTTCAAATCCCACAGCTGATAGTGTCATCATTTCACCTTTGGACCTTTCACCTTTGAACAAAACCCTTAATCCCAGCTGCTCTAGCCGTGCAGACTAACCCTAAAATAACTTTTCTCTCACCTGTACATACTGCATCTCTCTTGGAGACCAAGCTGGGATATGCCAAAACTACCCAATTTCACCAAAAGTATGAGAACTAATCAGATTAAATTAATATTATAAAACTAAATTAGTCAAAAGAATCTAAATTTATCTATTTATTCATAAAAGGATATCTTTATTAACTCTGATTAATCAACTGTCCTCCACAGTTAATATGTCACAAAATAATTAATCTTGATAAAAATTACTGTGTAGAACTATCAGAGGGCAATTAGCATGCATATATTGGCATACTGTAATGGGATACAGTCCTGACTGCCAATATTCAACTGGCATATTCAACTGACAAAAGGTTTTATCCGCTAAGACGCCAACTAAAGATCAGTACACACCATGTCCAGCAGAGGGCAGCAAATGTATCACAAAAGACATGTTACCGCCAGCAGATCCGTCAAACACCTCGTATCAGAATTTCAGTGCTGATTAATTGAAATCAACAGATAGTATCTAAGAGTTACAGCTCCATGCAGTTAAAGGCGCCTCCTGAAGTATTATGGGATGCTGTTACCATGGCGCACGTACCTCAGCAAGCTGGAAGAGGGCTGACTGACCGCACTGCTTTCCGTCTGTGGACTGTGAGGTGCTGGAGGAGATCTGGTCCGTGCAAATCAGAAAGGCGAATTAAAAAACAGTGTGGAGTGTGTGTGTGTTTGTGGGGGGGGGGGGGGGGGCAGCTATCTGAATGGCCCCAAACTGCTTTGGCACAGTTACTCTTCATTCATTCGTTGACTGTACAACCCATTGTACAATACCGTTTATTTCTGAGCCATAACTGAGCAATACTTTCCCTGATGTTCTTTGCAGGATGTTTCTTGTTATGATTGTTATTAATTAGTGCTGTCAAACGATTAAAATTGTTAATCAGATTAATCACAGGGTTGCTGTGGATTAATCACGATTAAATATCATTCATTTTTAATCTATATTAATCGCATTTCATTTTGCATGAGCAAACAGACTCAAGAAAAAAGGAAATATATATGCACTTAACATGTTTATTGAACATCTTGAACATGAGTCGGATGCATTCCATCTGCCACGAAGTGCAATATTATGGACCCATATCAAAAAGCAAGATTTTTTGCTTAGCCGGACAACTTGTTGGATTTAAGGTACCTCAGTTTAAATGGTCTTTATTTTCATTCACTTACAATTAGCCCGAACTACCATAAATCCGACAAATAATCCGACTAATCATGAAATCCAATTCTAGCCCAATTCATGAAATCCAATTGTTAGCAATATCAGTTGATAACACATTACGCGCGGTGCTTTACGTAGAAAACTCCATAGCAACACGTCCACAGATAAGTTGGACCGTATAGTCCAGATTTTTATCGGAAGAGTGCGCATGTCGTCACTTCTGGCTGCAAAACTCGGAATCCGACTCGGAATACGAGTTCCGAGGGCAAATGGAACGCACCAAAACTGCCCGAAATGGGTCGACAGAGACATTTCAGGCATTTTGAGTTATTCTGCACTGCAGATGGGTTAATTGCGTTAAAAATTTTTATCAGATTAATCATGATGATGGATTAATCCGCGTTAATCCGTTAATTTTGACAGCCCTATTATTAATATGACTATTATTATTTTTTAATTATGTCCAAATGTCTTAATTACTAAGGACGGGTTTATACTTGATGCTTCGAATGCATAGACTTATGCATGCTATCGATATGCAAGCGGTGTCACTGCTCATACTTCCGATGGTAATTTATGTCAATCTGGAGGATTAAAAGTTATGTCCACCAGGAAGCAGTGAACAAAATCATCTTGGTCGGCTGTATCATTTCCGGTCTTGTTTGTGTGAGGTTGTGGCCTGAAATACCACAAGCTACCAAAGATAAACGTCAGTGACGCTCATCGTATTCACAAAGACAGGCAATGCATCATACATATGATATATATACAGCAAGGATGAAAATTATTATGATTCGCTGGGAGAGTACATGCAGTGCTCATGTAAAAGCAGCGGTAACTTTGAACAAATTTTAAAATATATTTAATATAGTCTTAAAACGGAACAGTCATTAAAATTGTAAAGCTTGCTCAGTTTTGTTTCCTATGGCATAGTATAAATGTTTTAGCGAAACTTAAACCCTCCTGTTCGTGGCAAATGTTATCGCCGAGATTTCCAAATACTGCAATTGTATTGAAAAATATCGTTATGAAAATATCTTATACCGCATCATAATGTCCGTACCATATGAAGGTATGCAAAAACCTGATCTCAGTCTAACTACTGCGGTCCTTGTGATGAGAATCACATGTGCATAATATGCAATGTCGATGTTAATATCACCCAGCCCTACTTTGTGCTTTTTGTACTGTGATGCTGCACTGTCCTGTTAATTGTCTATAGTATGTTTAGAAAGCATCCAAGAATTTCACTGAACTTTGTGCGTAAGACACTGCTTTCTTAGCTCAGATAGAAACAGAAGAAACATACTGCCATAAAATTTTAAAGACGCTGTACACAGGCCTACCATAGTGTTAAGTGTTTTTTCTTTTGCCTCTGAAAATATTGCGTTTTGAGCATCTTCCAGCCACTCATTCTTAAAAAAAAAAACATTGCATACACTGCCCCAAACATTTTTTTACCAGTACTATCATTAAAGTGTAGCCTTATTCAAAATGTAGCCGTACAAACAATACGAAGAATGAATGCCGGGGATGTGAGGCGACCATGAGTGTCGAGTATGAACAGGCCCTAAATGTACGTGTTGTACTATCATTAACCTGCAGTTTTTTTCAGGATTAATAAAGTATGTATCTGCCTGTCTGTCAGTATTAAATACTGTGATCTGTGGAAAATAAACGCCATGTTTTTGCACACGAGACCAAACAAACCCAACCATGAGGCTAGAAGCTGGTCTTTAAGCAGCTTGGAAAGAGCCTGTCTCACTGCAAGGCTAGAGGAGCTCACCTCCGCCAGCTGAAACAGAGCGGACTTCACCGCGTCTCCCGACGGGCTGGCGCCTCCCGGGGACGGCGTTTCGGAAGCCTGTGGACAGAGAGGCGGGTTGAGGAGCTTTAGCCGGAGCCCAGACGCCAAAACGCGCAAAACCCGAATGGCCAAGGGGACTCACCGCGGCTGCCAGCTCGGCTGCCAAGCTCTTCCCCTCTGAGGGTGTTGGGGGTGCTGTGTTGGATTGGGGGCTGCTGGAAGAAATCTGAGAGGAAAATGATGGGGTCAAAGGTCAAGAGAGAGCCTGAGAGAGGAGGCATGTTTGAGACTGCATGGCTTTGAGCAGAAAAGGGCGTCTAATGAAGCTTCATCTGCCATTAGTATGAGAAGAGGTACATTGGAATATGCTAGTTTTCACATATCCTGCTCTCTTGCTTTTTTAAAGACACAGATGCATACATATACAGTGGTACCTGTACCCACGAGCGTCTGAGGCCACGAGTAACTTGAGTCACGAGCATTTTTATTTAATAAAATCTCACTGTACCCACGAGCAATGTTTGGAGCCACAAGCTGCTTTGTGTTGCCGTGACATGCCACCAGATCGGTGCTATGATACGTATGTTTACATCCACTCTTTTATATATATGAATGTTTTTTTTTATATAATAAAATGCTTCCTGAAGGTAAAACAGTCCTTAATGTAAGATACGTACATACAGATCTGTGTTACAATACGGGAAAGAGGTACGTATCCCTCCCACATAGGCTGACTGATTGCTGTATCGTAAGCTATTTTTCGTAAATTTGTGATAGCACTGATAATTTGCCCTTTTTTCTACATTTTTATTAGTAGCACAATTTACTGAAATATTCAGGCTTGTTTTTCAATGTTTTATTGTTTGCAACAATTTTTTATGCTCGCTGTAGGGCTACGCCGAGCAGCCTAGCCTAGCCTAGCCTATGGGACTTGGTCTCTTTCGTGTACGGCCATAGCGCAGTTTTCTATGCATTTAAAGATGAAAGTGTGTCTAATATGCCGAAAAATATGAATTTCTCAATCAATACTACTTATATTGTCACTAAAAGCTCAATTATTGTGCCTATAAATATTTTGTATGGGGGTATTTTGGGGCTGGAAAACCAATTAATCCCTTTCCCATTATTCCTTATGGGAAAAATTGTTTGTACCCACGAGAAATTGTACCCACGAGCTGTGTCTTCAAACCAATTACACTCGTGGGTACAGGTATCACTGTATACATACACACATTCAGGGGTTGGACAGTGAAACCGAAATACTGGCCAATAGTATTTGAGGTTTCACGCATATAAATGTGCGGCCTGGTGGGCAAAATTCACTGATTGCGCATTCCATCAGTAAGAGCAGAGCAATAGCACAGCTGTACATAAAATACTGCAATCCACACAACATAATGCGAGACAGAGTTCAAAACAGGACAGCTTGTTGGTGTGTGTCTCGCTGGCACATCTGTTACCAGGACAGCAAGTCTTTGTGGTGTATCGAGAACCAGGGAAATGTCGGCATACTACCATGAAGGACGGACCTCATCCAACTGGACTAACTGTGAACGCAAGAGGAAGCCATCTGAAAGGGAAGTCCGGGCACTAACCGGGATTGTACCCAAAAAACATTAAACCACAGCTGCCCAACTCACTGGAAAATTAAATGCGTACCTTGACTCTCCTGTATCCATACAAACCAGAGCTATACAGGGTCAATATTAATGGTTGGGCCGCTATAGCCAAACCTTTGGTCACTTGTGCCAATGCCAAATACCAGTTTTAATAGTGCCAAGTGCAGGCAAATCTAGTACTATGGACAATGTGAAACATGTATTGTTCTCTAATGAGTCCACCTTCACTGTCATTTCCACATTCAAGTAAGTTACGGTGTGGAGAAGCCCCAAAGAGTGCAGCACAGGGATGGATCAGTGATGGTTTGGGCTGCAATATCATGGCATTCCCTAGGCCCACTACTCGTTCTAGATGGGTGTGTCACTGGCAAGGATTACAGAACCATTCTAAAGGACCATATTCAAACATTGTTCCCTGACGGTGGTGCCATGTGTTAGCAATAATGCACCGATACACACAGCAAAACTGGTGGGGGGCGGTTTGATGAACATGAAAGTGTAGTTGATCATCTCCCATGGCCTACAGATTCACCAGATCTGAATATTACTGAGCCACTTTGGGGTGTTTTAGAGGAGTGAGTCAGAGTATGTTTTCCTCCACTAGCATCCCGTAGTGTCCTGGCCACTGTTCAGCTAGAGGAATGGCTCAAAATCCCTCTGGCCACTATGCAGGACTTATATCTGTCAGTCCCAAGACAATCTGATGCTGTATTGGCTGGATAAGGGGTCCCTACAACATACTAATAAAGTACATTTTTTATACTTTTTTTGGTCAGTGCATAATTCCATACAGCTCTAGAAAAAAAATTGAGACCACTTTGGTAAATCCCTGATTTAATCCTGGTTCTGCAGGCAAGAGGCTACGCTGAGGAGCAGGTAGCCTCCAGGTTCAAAATTTCTAAGACCACAGTGCACAAGAATAGGGTGAAGCAGGAGATACTGGGATAGCCCAGAAACCAGCCAGGCAGAGGGAAGAAGCGACTTTCAAATGTCAGAGATGACCGTTAACTTCTCAGACAACTTCTCATAAATCGTAGAATGACATCAAGTGACCTTCAAAAGGAATGGGAAACATTAAGTGCAGGTGTGAGATGCACTGCTAGGACAGTCCGTATCAGGCTCCTAGAAGCAGGACTGAAGTCCCATATAGCAAGGAAGAAGCCCTTCATTAATGAGAAACAGAGAAGAGCCAGGTTGAAGTTTGAAAATAAATGCATGTTTTACAGTGGCGCACACCCATAAATTGAGAAATGAGTAAAACAAACAATTGTGCAGTGGTCTCAAAATTTTTTTCAGAGCTGTATATGTTGTTATATAGTTCTGATGTCTTTATAATTATTCTAAAGTGAATAGTATAAATAAACCTCATCTTAGATAGCAGTGTGTGTGTGTGTTTCTCTCTCTCTCTCTATTCATTTCTATGGGAAAAATGCTAATGCTAACTATGACAACCTTAACCCCTACCCAGCCCTAACCATAACCATAAGTAACCAAACAACATTCAAGAGTTTTTGCATTTTTAGTTTTTTGATTGCAGTCACAGCTTTTTATAAAAAAAGCGGAGTTTTTTTTTTTTCCCCTTGTGGGGACCAGTTTCCTGGTCCCCACAAGGGAAAAAAAAAAAACTGGTATTCATCACGTTGTGGGGACATTGTGTCCCGATAAAGGTAAGGTATAACTGCTCTCTCTCTCTCTCTCTCTCTCTCTCTCTCTTTCTCTTTCTCTCTCTCACACACACACACACACACACACACACACACAATATTTTATATTATATATATATGAATCCCCACATGGCATTTCCTTTGACCTCTCTGTGACCCCCAGAGTCTTTGACTGGCAAATGCAAGCAATTCATCTTTTATGGAAAAAAAAGCACCATAACTGCAAGCCTTAAGAAAAAAAAACATATTTCATGCACATAGCACAATTATGTGCTGAGATGGTGTTTAGAGTGCTGACTGTGCAATATTATTTGTATTTGAAACTATCAGAGGCTGCTGGATGAAATGACACTGGCGCCCCCTTCTGGGAGATTCACTTCAATACATCATTTTCTTCCTTTATATGGCCTTGAGCATTTGTTAGAATAAAAGGCAGATCAAATATAGCTATATAAATCAATTCAATTACTTTCAGGTTTTAAATTATAATAAGAATATTAAAAATATACCAGTTTTTACAGTTTTGTTTTTGTAGGTCTGCGCAAAATTACAACTTCAAGCTACCTCCCAATGAGAACTGATGAAAGCTTTAAAGGAAAAGAAATACTAGGTACGATTTATAATTAAGTTTAGAATCTGTCAGTTTATTTTGATTTACTCTTTATTTGTTAATTTATTGTTTTTTTGTTTGTTTCTTTATGAGGGTTACTGTGCTGGAGTTATTTCTGTAATGCTTCCGATTTCCCCATCAGAGAACAATAATTTTATCTCATCTTATTCACACTAGATGAGTGGGTCTTACTGAATGCTTGCTTTACACTCCAAGCCAAAAATGTGCATCTCTGATAGATCATAAAAAGATGTTCAGTTAAGGCCCAGGGCTCATAGGCTCTCCGGTGTCTGGCTTTCGATTATCAGCCTCGCAGACATAGCTGTATAGAGCACCTCCTGCCGATGGTTGTTGAACTCTGTGTGTTTCTGCAATGTCCATTATAACATCAATAAACAAACAATATGGATGAAGCCTTAAAACAGTGGCTGTTTATCCAGCCTGTACTTAAATGTTGCCTTCGAATAATAATGTTGTATAAATTAGGTACAGATACCTTTGATATTTATGACCTTGAGATTCCAGAATAATCCCCCCCTCCCCCGTAGAAGGGAAGGTTCCCACATCCTTTAAAACCAGTTGCTGTCAGAACAACAACAATGTTGGCTCTGTCACCCTCCCCCCTGCCTAATCCCTCCTCCCACACTCCCGACCGCTACAATATCTGGACCCCAACACCTCTCCAAAAAAAAAAAAATCCAACTTTGCGTGACTTGTCTGAATGCAATCAGTTTAATCAAATCTGTGTCTGTACCTTTCCTCTCATGTATCCCCACTAAATGGCAATTTTGGTGTCATTTGTCACAAAATGAAATTGCTCCCAGATCATCACCTACAAAATGTTCCTGGGAAGTTTGAAAGATCCAACAAAAACTTTTTGAGTTATCACTCTGACAAGATCGAGTGTCTGTGGTTGCCCGTGTCTTTATCACTACGCAGTACTGCTTCAATTTTGGTGCAATTTGTCTCAAAATTTGATAAGTTCTAGATCTTCTTCCATGCAAAGTGTCTCTAAAGTTTTAAGTAGATTAGATACTTTTTGAGTTGCTGTGCTAATAAGGAATTGTCTATGGTGGCAGAAGACTGGTCGAAAAACCATATGTATTCTCAACCTGGGGAACAGTCACATCAACCTTTCATCTCTAGTCGTTTGTACCTCAGCCAGCTGGAAGAGCACACAGCTGCCAGCATCCTCAGCTCCTGACCGGAGAGAGTTTGAGGAAATCTGCAGGGAGAGATTTTGAACCTTAAAACAAAAATGGCTGGTCATGGATGAGCTGTTAAAAATCAACAGCTTCTCGTTCAATACCTCAGCTAGCTGGAACAAGGCGGACTTCCCGCTGTGCTTGTCTGAGTCTGCAGTCACTGGAGACGTGCTTGAAGAAACCTGGTTATTAAGCAGAGCACGTAGACCTCAATGTTAGAACTTAACCAGATAGAAGAGTTTATAAGTGCAAAACATGAGTGATGCTAAGAACATGGCTAAACTCAGTATCCTAGACGGTCAGTAACATCAGCCCAAATGCTTTTGCAATGCAGCTAGTTGATGCCATGCCTGCTACACACCCCTGCATCACTTAACAACAGCTGCGATAAACTGTTTGTAAACAGAACGATGAGCTGGTGAAGCTCAGTAGAGCTACATGTTTCATAACTGTGCTGGGATGCAGGGAAATACTTAGGAGTCAAACTCAAATCAAGACATTGTCTCAAAACATCAATTTTGGACACCTTTTCAAGCTCAATCTGGCCTGGCCTTAGCCAGGGGTATGCTGTACGCATTGTACATTGCGACATAATTCCATCCATGTAACCGTTGAGTGACTGCCTGCATAACATCGACCCACCGCCATGGGAACGCCTTTCCTCTCAGCACCAAGGCAATTAGGATCAATCTGCGGCTGCTAAAAGGCAATGTGGGCGTTTCGCGGAACATGTGGTGGGAGTATCTTTGTGTGGTTTGGGTTGTCTAGTGCTGGCTAATGCTAACGCTATCCCCGGCTATCTCCTTAAGGCCTGATGTCGGAGACTCTCCTGCTCTTGGCACAGAGTGGATCGCAGTGGTTGCTGTTCGCTTGTTAAAAGGCGGCCGCCATCAAACACCCCACCTTCATTGCAGTATGGCGAAACACCTGTTGTGGCTGAAGACCCAAAACAGCTTGCATACTGAAGCCTGTTAATGCCAATTACTGCTTCCTAGTTGCCTCCACAAGTGACTATCTTCCTGGGGACATTTCCCCCACAAATACAGTCATAAAATAAATAAATACATACAATAAAATAGTTTGTGAACCCTTGGGAAATATCTAGATTCTGACATTTTTCAACTAAAACACACCATATCTTTATTGAAGAGATGCTCAGAACAACAAAGGTCATAGATAGAGAAACTATATAAATGCATATATTTAGAAACTAGCAAAATCTTCTTCATTGCAAGAGCCTTAGTCAAATGCTTTCTGCAGCTGCAGAACAGATTTGTGTGGCAGTTAAGATGTACTTTGGGTATGTCCTCTTCATGTTTATGTTCATGTTTATTTGGGAATGGCTGGCTACGGCCATTGATTTTTAAATGAATATTTATATAGCAGACGCTTTTGTCCAAAGCGACGGACAAGTGAGGCAAATAGCACATTATAAATATACGGCTGTCAAAAAGTTGGCTAAGCATTCAAGCAGCATGGCTGAGCTTCCGATGAATGGCCAGGCGCAAGAGTAAGCAGTACTGGGGCAACAGTTATTGGAGGAGCATTGGAGCAAGATCACACCACAGCATTGGACCTAATTATTTGAGATAAGAACTTGGGAATTCTAAAATACAAAATCCCTTCTTCCAGAGCCACTCTGAGGTCAATTTGTATTTTTCATCATTGTCATGTTTCATAAGCCAACTTATTTTGTGTTTTAGATCATAGATGCCACCAACAGTCTGCTGTAGAACTTCCTCAACATCTCCTTGGTCCCTCATTGACTAGAAAACATCCTGGCTCTGAGGATGGCAGCCACACCAACACGCTTCTCAACTGGTTTGATGCTTTGGTGATAGGATGTTGCATGTGGTTTTGCCCAAACATAACGCTGTCTACATATATAAATAGTGCTCCAGTTGTACTGTGGAACACCCACGTGGTCTTCAGCACATTTAATGTTTTTATTTTTCTCTTCTGAAAAGCACTGGCTTCCTCTGAGGTAACCCCCCCAGTGAACAGCACTCGTGTTTTTCCAAGTGCAGGGGACACCTGCAGGTGTTCCTCTGTCATCCTCAGCTTCGGTGTCACTCGCCTGAGGATTCGACGGGCTGCCCTCGCACGGATCAGAACGCCCACTCCTGGGAGAGCAAAGATGGTGCTGAACTTCTTCTATTCGTAAACCGCATGTCTGACTGTGGACTGACGGAGGTCTTTGGAAATCCTTTCGTAATCCTTTCCATGCTTAGGAAATCATTCTTCCAAGGCTCTCGGAAATATCTTTCCGATCTTTCCGATAACTCTGCTCGGTCGCACTTGGACAGAATTCTGTTCTGAAGAGAAGGCAACCAAAATTGTGTTGATTTTTTCCTTTTTACACAACAGCTTATGTCGAATCCACATCTGAATTTCTGGGAACACTTGACTCCAATTACCCTCATTTCAAGAGATCATTATCATAGAGATTCACCTACTGTTTCCATCAATTACCTTGACTGTTAAAACCATCTGTTCAATAAAGACACGGTTATGTAAAATTGTGTGTTGTCTGTTTCTACTTCTACATTTCACAGAATGTTCATTCGTTTACTGTACAACCCAATGTATAATACTATTTATTTATGACTCTTTACTACAAAGTTCTGTGCAACACTTTCCCTAATATTCTTTGCACTGCTATTTATTATTGTCTATTATTTATTGCAACTGTTTCTTAATGTCTAAATGTCTTTTTTACTGCCTAAAGGTACAACTGTAAACCTGCAATTTCCTTGGGGGTTAAAATGCGTGTTGTGCTACAGTAAAGCTGCAGTTTCCTTCAGCATCCATCCATCCATCCATCCATCAATCACTCTATTATTATAACTTCGATAAAGATCTGGTACATACATTCATACATAAATCCTGATAATTCCAAAGAATTCACAAACTTTTCCTCAGTGTACGGTACTCAACACCACCCAGGTCGCCGGTTACTTCCGCCAAATCCATCAGGAACAGACAGAACTACCCTCTCTGATGGCAACGCAGCGCTCATTACAGCGGCATCTCAGAGTGCCGCAGGAACATCCACAAGCCGGACTGAATCATTCCGAAAATGCTTCGCAGTCAGAAAGCCTCCAGACATTATCGAAAATGACAGGAAGATGCTGATTACCCTTCACCCCCCCCCCCAAGCAATACGCTGAACATGGCCATCTTCGATTTTAACGAGATTACATGTAATTGGCAATGAAATATCATCAGCCACCATCTTAGAATCCATAGTTACTAGGAGTGTATTATAGCAAACGGCAGGGAATCCGCAGAGGACCACGGTCAGGTGGAAGTGTGTGAAACATCAGCGTGTGATCTGGCGGCAGACTCACCTCCCGCGTGCTGAGCGCCCGCTCCCCGGCCAGCAACAGCATGCTCAGGCCCCCCATTTTCGTGGGGTCTGCGAGGGAGCGGAGGGGGGGGGGGACACAATTAAGTAATCAGTCCATCAACAAATTGGGTGCGAGAAAACTGGACCCATGGACCCATGGACGTAATTTCCAGGGGGGTTAGGGGGGTCATGACCCCCCCAATAATCAGCTCCAGCCAATATAACCCCCCCAATAATCATGTTTCCCCCGTAATGGGTGGAGACCTCGACCCCCCCAAAGTTCCAGCCAAAGTTATGCCCTTGCACCGGACGATTCGGGGACACACCTGCCATGGCAAAGTTGAGCTGGGGAGTGCCCTCCGCCTTGGGGACCTTCTTAGCTGCAGCGCTGTCCTTGGGCGCATTCGACGTGAAGGACCAGACCTTCTTGCGGCTGCCGCTGACCGCCGCTGCCGGACTCTTAACTGGCTTGTTGGTGGTGGGACACCACTTGTAGCCGGGGTTGGCTTTCATGAAGGCGTCTTTGTACTGAGGGGGGGGGGATAGAGGCCGTGAGTCCATGCTGAACGGCAACAACAGGTAAAAAAACCGATAATCAATAAACTGATAATCAATATACCGTCATACTATATATAGTCTGATATATATAAATTATGCAAGGGTTAATGCTCGTTTAAAATGAATAAAACACGGCTTGTCATGCACTAACCCGAGGTTGTTTTCATTTTCACAAGCTAAAATTGCATTTATTAGTAGTAATACTTTTTTTAGCCAATTTCTGTTTCTATAGTTTCCGTTAATTTGAAATTGCATTCTACATAGGATTTTTTTCCCCCTTACTTTTGTTAACATTTCAAATAATGATTATAATCATGCATTGATTACTACTGTGATTAGTGTTCCTGGCACTACATGAGCAATTATAGAAAATCAATCAACACCCTTCTGACCAATCAGATTCAAGAGGTCAACAGCATCGTAATGTAAAAATATGTAATTATAGATAATTATAGATGCAGTGGGAGGGAACCCAGGTGACATGAGGAGGCAGACACACAGCCACTTAATGAATATAGCCTGAAATAAGCTATATGCTTTTCTGCGGAACGTGAAAAAAGTATGATTTCCATCTTTCAAAACAGTGCTGTATGATACCACATCGCAATTATATAGCGCATACGCAAAAATTACCAAGACTCTACACGGCCAGAAACATCCGTCTTCAGTTGTGTGGAATAAGCATGTCGGACTGCAAACAGTGCCGCCACACCACTGACGTCTTTTTACCTCGTTTATCCACAATTTCTCCTCTTTCTAATGATGTTGTGGCTGCTGATCTGTCCCTTTCTTCACCGCCACTTCAGTGCTTATCGCTTCCATGATTTACCAGAACAGCAGCATTTGGCGTGCTTCGCTAACTGAGGTTAATAAGCATAAGGATACGTTGAATTTATACAGATTACCAAGCTTTCGGCCTCACAAAACGCATCACAGTAATATTTCAGGCATACTACTAATCTGCTTGCGGGCGTAAGTAAACGTCCGTATAGTACCGAAAAAGCTGTTATCCAGACAAATGCTTATGCCAGTCATCTAAAGCCCTGGTGATTATTGCGCATTACAATTATACTGTGATGTGATATGGTGTGGCCTTATCGAAAATGTGACACCTATCAATGTGTGTCTTTGCTCGGGTAAAAGGCAGAAAGTATCTAGAAGCACTGCTGGACTGACTCGGGCAGATGACTGCCCAAGAGCGCCCCCTTCAGGAATGCCTGCACCTCGTGTGGCTTTGTCGCCAGTCAGCCCAAAGTGGTACGAGAGATTGGAGTCAACACCAATGCAAAGCTGTCACAAGTACTCGATTAAAGTCGATTACTCGATTATTAAAAAGCATCGATTAAAGTTTTCTTTCTCGATTACTCGACAATATGGCGGAAGGGAGACGGCACATTGCGGGTGAAGATGAGAATAAAGAGCAAAAACCATCAGTTGTGCGGAAGCGCTTCACATTTAAAGTGAATGAAAGTGCAGTCATCTGTCATTGTTGCAGATCACAACTTAAATATCACCACAAAAACATCTTAAGGAACACATGTGGGTTTGATGGACTCACCCAATAATGCCAGCTTAGCCATAGATACATGCCAATTAGCCTCTCGGAGTCTAGCCTGTCTTTGTCATCACTTTGACTTCAAATCAGTTTGCTTAATTTACTTTGGCCCATTCCGCTATGTCAGAATAATCGGGACTAAAACAAAGGTTAGTCCTGTCGCTATATATATATATATATATATATATATAAACCATATAATATAAATTACTTTGAACATAGTGTGTGTTTTGAGTAGGGCTGAATGATACTTGAAGTTTTGCGATATTTAAGAGTTAAAAATGATCTATACAGCCAAAAATAACTGATTATCTACCAACAAAGTCTGTCAAATAAGTTGGTGGTGTTGCCGTTAGTTGCCAGTAGTACAGCATTGGCGACAAATCACTTGCCTTTGCTCAATAACGTCTCTATCAAATACAAATGCATACATCGGAAAACAAATGTCTTTTTGTCATCAGTTCTAGTTTGCTTTTCTTCTCTTCACTCATTTTGTTTAATTTCTCACAAACATGCTACACGGCCTCTAAGTGAATCAAACAGCAAGGACAAGAATGATTACGATTGTGTCAGAAAGTGCATGCAGAGCTCATGCAATAGCAGTAAACTTTAGAGTGATTTTTTTTTAGCATATAGACCTGCTAGATAATGATGAAAAATAACTATGGTCAAAATTGCAAAGCTTGTTAAATTTTGTTTCCTATGACTGACCAAAAATGTTTCAACATTCATGCTTTGAACCCAACAGACTTGCGATCCATTCGATGCGACAATTGCATGCGCATGAAATGCCATATTGATAGTAACATCGCAAGCCTAGTACTGAGGGCAGCATAGTGGCACAGCAGATAACGCCTGTCTCTGCACAATATGTGTGAGAAGTCTGCATGTTCACTCCATGTGTGTTTTTTTGGCAGATTCCCCGGTTTCCTTCCAGTGTCCAGAAACATGCAACTTAAATGAATTGGAGTTGCCTAAACTGACCGTATGTGTGACCCTGCAATAGCAGGTTTCTTCCTGCTAAGCACCAAATGCAATGTATATATTATATATTATACGTAAACTATTACTCAATGAATCATCAGATTAACTGGTACTCGATAAAACATCAGATTACTTGGTAGATTACTCGATTATGATATCATTGGTAATGACAGCCCTATACCAATGTGTTGGGCCCCAACACCTGCCGTAGTCATGGTTACCCCTCACCATGCTGACCAGAGGTCTATCTGGGGGGGCTCTGTAGCCTCACCCCCATAATGGGAATGGAAACCCGCAAAGGTCAGTCTGATTACTGCATCTCCAGCAAAGCGAGTATCACGTGTACATATGTGTGTGATCTGCTCTAAAATCCTACAACTGAGCCAAAGTCATCTGGCCAAGATGAATAGAGATGCATTAATTACATTTAACACAGCTATCAAATGTAATGCTAATAATAAACAATTAGCAAAAAATTGTCTCATAATTAGCCTTATTGAACTAAGATATTCCAACACAAGTAAATGAAAAATGTTCAAACTAAGCTTGTTTGTGCTAAACTACAAAGGCTGCCAACTACAAACCAGTAGATCAGCGAGATAAATCCTCCTTCGTGTGTGGAGTTTGCTTCCTAATCCGTAAAACACTCGGCTGCATTTCTGGTTGATCCAGATCAATTAGAGATGCATACACATGTCTCTTTCAAAACCATCAATAAAACCAAAATTATTATGTAATTATACTTGGGCTAAATTCAATTTAAGATTCAATATACAGTGCAGTACATCGTTTTTCATTTAAGTTGTTATTCAAGTTCTTTTGCCCATTGCAATTTTTTAGAGAAGCATGAACTATAGTACAGCACAGTGAAGGACAGTGTAGTGTAGTACAGCACAGAATAGTACAATATTGGGCACTATAGAATAGTACAGCATAGTATATTGTAGTACTGTGTAGTATAGTGCAGTGCAGTACAGTATACAATAGGGCAACTTGGTACAATCTAGTGGAGTCTGGTACAGTGTAGGGTTATATAGGGCAGTGCAGCACAGCACAACATAGCGGAGTATAGTGCAGGATACTGCACTACAGTACAGTGTAGAAGAGTATAGTAGATAGAGGCCAGTGTATAGGAGTGTAGCAGTCTAACAGAGTATGGCAGACTACAGTATAGCGTATTGTAGTTTAGTAGAGTCTAGCACAGTATACTGTAACTGAGTATAGAACAGTGTAGCACAGTATTCATGCTAATGCTGCAGTGTGGCTACAGTGTGGCTGGTGTACCTCCTTGGCCATGTCAGTGTACTTCTGCTTCTCCGTGGGTTCCAGCACGGCCCACCAGTCGGCGAGGATCTTGGTGGCCCCCCGGTTGTCCAGCCGTGGGTGCTCCTGCCTCACCAGGGAGCGGTGCCTCTTACAGAAGAGCAGGAAGGCGTTCATGGGCCGCCGGGCACGCTGCTCTGACGACTCCTCCTCCCCTTCCTCCTCCTCCATGGTGCGGCACTCCACATCTGGGGCCGCGTTCTCGCGACACGCCAGAGGTTCCTGGGGGCCCAAGGCCAAGCGGTGAAACAAGCTGCAATCCTGGCTTCCTGGGCACCGCAGGTAGGGCCACTTCTTATTTTCCGAAACACCCAGCGCTAATAAGCATTAGTGGCTCCAGCATCTCATATCTCAACTAGAAAATGCGTCTTGTCTTGTCCTGGACATGCAAATACAGCTGAATTGGCCGTACAGAAGAGAGCTAAAACCCTCCGCCCGCAGATTATTATGGGATGTTAAGCCGTACAGCACTAAGTAACCGGCAGCCAATAGAAAAGGCTGAGGCTGCAAACTGCATTACAGGGGATACTTACAACGTTATCAGGGAAGAGATTTAATGAACGTTCATAATCTGAAATAGCATCGTGCATTTTTTCACCATGTGCCAGCGGACCTCTGGCATACAGCTTCACCCGGGCAGAGTGGAAATCACGTCTGAGAAACTAACTGGCATTGAGTTTGGAAGACCCGCTGACAGGCCTTACTAAAAAGCAGCCACCTACTGGTCAGAGTGGGGGCCGCCTACTTCCTGTGCGGAACTTCCCACAGGCCGAAGGGGGCCGGCCATGAGGTTCCCACCCACCTTGTCCAGCTCCTCCTCCTCATCCTCCTCCTCCTCCTCGGAGAAGTCCAGGGCCTTCTTGGAGAGCAGCGGGTGCCACTGGAGGCACTTGCGTTTGGGCCGCTTGCCACTGAGCTCCCCCTCCACGGGTGGCTCCTTCCCTCTGCCGCCACCCTTCATGACGCTCACCCTAAAGAGCACAGGTGGGTCAGGGAAATGACAGGGTCCAGACCATGCCAAACAAACAACTATCACGCCGATTCCTTCACAAGGTTTCAGCTGCTTGAGTAGTAAGGTGGGGTGAAAAAAAATCTAAATTTCCAATAGTGCGGAAAAGTTGTCACTGGACCTCGTTATTAAACGTGCAAAATATCTTTGAAATAGGTTAAGATTTTCAGGTTCCGCAACGTGATCGAAGTTTTCACCTGTCACATAAATGGGCAATATACACTATCCATTATCTATACTCATCGGTGTTGTGTTTGTGCACAACATGATAATCACTACAAAATACCAACATTCAGGTAACGCAGATTTTTACTGGGTATCAGCCATACACATACATTACATCACTCTGCGGCTCTACGTGCATTACGATTAATCACGAAAATATTTTTTTGTAATGTTGTTCCTGTATTGCCATTTTATTGTTTTTTACTATGTGACGTTTTAGTTTGCTATTGTACTGTGTTTTGAGATCTACAGAAGTTACTTGTGCATGCGAGTGCTTTCTCTTGCCAGTGAACTTTACATACTGGAATGCAGAACCTTGCAGTGTTGAAACTGGTGTGTTTGACATGAATGTTTTGGCATTCATCGGTGTAGTGTTTGTGCACTTTCGCAACATGATAATCACTACAAAATACCAACGTTGAGGTAATGCAGATTTTTACTGGGTATCAGCCATACACATACATTACATCACTCTGTGGCTCTACATGCATTACGATTAATCACCTGTCGCATCAATGCGCAGAGCCACGCTATATATCATCCATATCATAACGCAATGTAAAATTGTTCCTCAGTGCCACCAAAATGAAAAGTATTAAGCATGACAGTCAAAATGGTTAGATACACTATATTACCAAAAATATTGGGACACCTGAATTCAGTGATTTGGAGGGGTGTCTCAATATTTTTGGTAAGACCCAGATGGATAAAGCGGTATAGATAATGGATAGTGTATATTGCCAGTATGTCAGTGTAAGCATGCTCCTGT